GGAGGCAGGGAGCATCTTCTTTCTCCAGCACCCTCTCCTCCCTTCAGGCTCCCACTGGGACTGTCTCTTTTTCCCTCAGTTCCTGGGCCAGACTCCAGCTTCCCGTCAGACCTTCCGAGCAGTCCCAGACGCCCCAGCCTCTAGGCATTCTCAGCCCCACCCCTTCCTTTCAGCCTCCGGGTCCCAGCTCCTAAACTGGACAGAGGATGCCTCCATCCCAGCCTCCCTCAGCTCATCCTTCCAGAAAGGTCGGACATTCAGACCTGACTCTTGCTTACAACCTTCGATGGCTCCCGCGCGCCGCGGAGGACGGAGTTCCCAGCCCGGCTCTCCACGCGCTGAGAACGGCCCCGCCCACTCACCCCAACCTCTCCCAACTCCTCGGCTCCCGGCCCAACGGCTCTGATCAGACTTGACTGCTCCGCCGTTCTCCGGAATCACCTTGGCTTCCTGCCTCTGGGCCTTTGCCTAAGTTGTGCCAGCGGCCTGGGACGCCCCGACTGCTGCCCCTGAACGATCCAGGTTTAACTTCACGCCTTCTCCGCTGCCAGGACTCCTCCCGCCCTCCCGGGACGCTCACAGCCTCGGGGCTCCTGGTCACTGCCTGATCGCCCCATTGGGGGACTTTCTGCGGCTGGGTCTGTCTCCCCCATTAGACAGAACGTTTCCAGGGGCAGATCTGGGTCAGAGTCACCAGAAGTCCCCAGGGGCAAGGGAGGGGACCAAATCCAGAGAGGGTGGGAGGGAGGAAGAGCAGGACCCCGTCTGGGAGGGCGTATGAGGAGGAAGAGGAGAGCGGGGGAAGAAGAAAGCCGGAGAGAGGAAGAAGGATGGAGACCCAGAGACTGGCAGGGAGGACGGAGAGGGGGCAGGAGGAAGAGAAAGGCGGCGTGGAGGAGATCCGCGGATAGCGCAGAGGATGGAAGGTAGACGGGAAGGAGGGACAGCTATGCAGAAGCGAGAGAAAGACAGAGACGCGGAGAGGAGGCCGGCGCGGGGAGGTGGCTGCCGGGCTGCGGAGAGCGATGCGGGCCCGGCCAGGCCGGGCGGAGGGAGGGCGCAGTGGGCGCGCCGGCCGCCGCCGCTCCGGGCCTCTCTTTTGTCCCTTCCCTCCTCCCTGCGTCATGCTCCCCTGGCCCGGCCTCCCCTCCCGCTCCTTCCTCCGCCCCGCTCCTCCTCCCCGGGGCTGGATGGAATTTTTTCCCCTGGACCCGGGCCAGCTCCGGGGCAGGGGGGAAGCCAGGCCGGCCCGGGCTGGGCAGCGGGGAGGGGCCAGGAGGGGGCCCTCGGGGAGGGGGCCGGTCCGAGGCCGCACTGCCGACCGCCGCGGGTCCGGGGCGGGGAGTGGGGCCGCAGCGTTGAGGGCGCCGGGGAGGCGCGGGGAGGAGGCCGGCGGGGCGCGGGTGCGGCGCGAGGATGGAGAGACCCTGCCCGCCGCGGGACCGCGGGAGGTGAGTCAGCGGGCCGAGGGCTGCAGCCCGGACTCAGGGCTCTCCAGGGTCGACGACTCCGGGTATGGATTTTTGGGGTCCCGGAGGAGGATCCGGGAGGTTGGTGGTGTCTGGAGCCCGGACTCCCGGCTCAGAGAAGGGGGCTGGGGACCTGGATTCTGGGGTTCCAGAGGCTGTACGGGAAGGGAACCCTTCCTAGACTCCAGAGGGAAGAGAGCGGCGGGGCTGGAAGGGCCGGGGTGGGGTGGCGGAGGCTGGGGGCGAGATGCCCGCAACGTCTGGGGAGGTGGAGGACGGAGGCTGGCGGTGGCAGCGCCCCGGCTGCGATGGGGTTAATGTCTGGCCGCGGGGAGGGGGAGGGGCAGGGATGGGGCTGCGGGCTTGGAGGGGTCAAGGGTGAGCCTCGCGAGCGGGAGGGGGCCGAGGAGGAGGGGAGGCTGTCTGGACTGCCAGACAGGCCCGGGTCAGCGCCGAGGGCAGGGGATGTCTGGCGGGGGAGAGGCCCAGCGGCCGGCTCCCTTGGGGACCTGGAATTCCAGGCCCCAACCCAGTCCTATCCGGACCCAGAGTCTACCACCCAGCTAGTCTCGGGATGGTAGCATCCGCCGTCTCCCCAGGACCCGGCGTCGGGCCCCCGGGCCTCTTCTCTCGCACCTGGGGCTGCACACTGCAGCCCCACCCCTTCCGATCCCGCTCTTCAGGATCGTGGATCCCAGCGCCTTGCTCTTGAATCACCCAGGAATCCTCCCCTAGCATCTTTACGCCTTGGTGCTGGGACTGGGTGTGTGTGGGGGTCCTTCTCTAGAACCCTGGAGTCCCTGCCTTCCCTTTAACCCCAGCTGGAGTCGAGCCCTCTAGGGGTTAAGGGGGCGGGGCCAATTGGTTGCTATGGTGCCAGACTGTTTGGGTCTGCTCTCTGACCCTTGGGGGCTCCCTAGGGTCCGCCAAGAGGGGGAGGGGGACCCAGACCTGGGGGAAGTCCAGCCCCTACCCCTTCCCCAAAGCAGACCTGGGCGGGGGTGGTTTACGCCCACGCCTTGTCCAGTGACCTTGAACGAGTCCTGACCCGTCTCTCCGGCCTCAGTTTCCCCGATGAGAAACTGACCCGGGGCGGAGAGGGAGAGGGATGCTCTGGTCCCGGGAATCTTGAAGATTCTCGCCTCCCCCTCCGCTCCCCCCGCCCCAGGCCCCAGGCAGCCCCGGGGCATGCTGGGAGCCCGGGCCGGGCTCCGGGCCAGGTTGGGGGGGCTCCTCCCTTCCCCTTCCTCCCCACCTTGGCCTGACTCTCGCACCCGCCGGAGGGTCTGGGAGGCTGCGGGAGGGAAGGGGGCCGGTGCGACCGCAGGCTGGTCGGGCCCCCTCCCCCTCCCCCGCTCCCGCCCCTCCTTCCCGCCCCCTTCCCGCCTCTCCTCCCCCTCCCCAGCAGGTCGCTACCCCAGCCCGGGGCCCCTGCTTCACCACCCCCACCCCACCCCCAACTCCAGACCTGGCTCGGAGCGGCGAGGGGGAGGGAGAGAGGGAAGGAGAAAGAGGGAGAGAGGAGATGGGGGAGGGGAGGGGAGGGAGGGAGACCGGGAGAGAAAGGGAGAGAGACAGAGACGCGAGAGAAGAAGGCTGGGAGATGGGAGGAGGCGCGGGAGGCCAGACAGAGGAGGGGGGAGGAGGGGAAAGAGAAGGAGAAGGGGAGCGAAATTGAGAAAGCGGGGGGACTAAGGGGGTCAGGGGAAGGAGAGAGACAAAGCGGGGCGGGAGAAGGCAGGAGGAAAGGCAGAGCCAGGTAGAGAGAAAGGAGAGGGAGAGGCCGGCGGGGAGGGAGATCCGGAGGAGGCGGGAGCGAGCCCTGGACGGACAGACTGACTGACGGACGGAGGGACTGAGGAAGGGAGGGGACGCAGTCAGGTAAGATGCAGACGAGAACGAGGAAGAGGGTGAGAAAGACCGGCGCCGAGAGAAAGAAGCAGGAAGGCAGACATGGATCCAGGCCGAGGGGGAACCCGCTCCCCAGTCTGGATGTATCGGAGACTCCCCGGGGACCCGCCGTGCGCGCGCTAGGGCGGCAGGCGGGCGTGGGGCTCCCCGGGCCGGGCCCCAGCCACCTGCGGCAGGGCCTCCTTGGGCTCAGCCTCCTACTTTGCTCACCTGCTGGGTGGGGGTGCGGCAGCAACACCTGAACGAATGGTCTGGGAGGGGCCGGAGCGGTGGGACTCAGGGCAGAGCAGTGACAGCTCCTGGGGACCAAAGCTGTTACCCTGCTAAGTGTGCGGAGGCCCGAAAAAGGGAGGAGAATGGGGAAGAAATGATGGAGAAAGCCTGAAGGTTCTGCACCTTCTGATGCCCCTCAGCCCTGGCTGGGGAGTCTCTCCACCTTGTCAGAGAAGGTGGGACTGGTGAAGTTTCCTCCTTCGGGCACCTAGGAAGCCAAGGCTCCTGTGAGGCTCTGCCTCCTCCGGGAGAAAGCCCTGGTCCGACACCAGTGTGAGGCAGGAGGCGGGGCCTGCAAGCGTGGATTCCTTAAGAAGGACAGGACTACATTCAGAATCCTGGGTTCCTTGGGGAGAAGGGGCTTGTGGTAAAGCTCTCTGGGGTTTTTGAGGAGGAAGGGGACAGCGGCTTGAGCTCGTGGGTTCCTGGGGGAGGAAGACCTGAGGTTTGGATCCCAGTTCCGAGGGAGGAGGGCTGGGCCCTGCACTCCTGGATTTCTTGGGAGGAGGGGTCCCTTGGGAAGGACAGGACTGCACCCTGGACTTTAGCATTCCTTGGGGTGGAAGAGGCCTGGGGCCTGGATTCCTAGGTTCCTTGGGAGGAGGGGGCCGGGGGCCTGGACTCCTGGGTCCTGGCACCCACCCGTAGAACCGACCTTGCGGGGCCTTCGCCACACACAAGCTCGTGTCTGTGGGTCCGTGTCGGGGGCTCACCATCGCGGCTGGGACCTCCCCGGCCCTCCCCACCCTCCCTGGCCCTCCTGGCCCCCCACCTCATCTGTCCATCTGTCCGATCTGCCCACCTGCCGCGCCCCCCGGGCTGAGGTAGGAGGTTGTATAGTTGAGGAGGACACCCAAGGAGATCACTATACGGCCTCCTAGCTTTCCCCAGGCTGCGCCCTGCACGGGACGGGGCGGCGGGGACCCCAGGCCCACACTCTGCCCTGAGACCCTGGCAGTGGCTAGGTTAGCTCCTCTGTCCCATCCCAGCTTCCGGTCCTCTGTGTCATCTGCTATCTCTTTGGCCTCTCTGTTTCCCCGTGTCTCTTGTGCTCTCTGCCTCTCATGTCCTGACGGCTTCATCTCTCTTCGCACCTTGCCCCTGGCTTCCGGTCTTGGACCCTCCCAGTGGTTCTTCATGTCTGTTCCTCTTTTCTTTGGTCCTCTTTTAGTTTTTTATCACTTGGAGTATCCTGTGTCTGCCTGTCTCTCTATTCCTACCCCCGACCAGGGCCTGTCAGGACTGATAAGTTGCCGGCCTCTGGGTCCCTGAGACCCTTTAACCTGTGAAGACGTCCAGGGTCACAGGTGAGGTTCTTGGGAGCCTGGCGTCTGGCCCGACCACAAACCTAGGGCTTGCAGGCCAGCCCCTGACCCCTTCTTCCTGAGCCTGACCTCTGACCTCTGGTCCCTGGCCATGGCCCCTCCCCCTCTTGTAGTGACCTCACAAAGGTCACCAGCTTCTCCCCAGGCACTGAGATCCTCCAATGGCTCTGCTGGTCCTCGTGAGTGCTGTCCCAGCTAGCCTGCAGTTCCTGCTGGTGCTCAGGGCAACCACGTGGGCCTGTCTCCTGTGCTTCACGACTTACACAGAGCGCCTTGGCATCTGCAGGATGTTTGGGGTAGAGGGCCCCAAGGTTGACCAGTGTGAGGAAGCTTTCACTGGTGCCTTCCAGGGTCTCTCAGACATGGAAATCAGTGAGGAGGGGGTCCCTTCTACATGGACCAGGGACTGGGGAGGAGCTGGCAAGTCTTAGGAAACGGGGAGGGAGGGAGAGACAGACAAGAGTGGAGCACGCTTGGGAAAGAAAACTGAAGTAGAGTGAGAGCCGCCTCAGAGTCAGGGAAAGGGGGCAGAAAGAAGACCCTGGGCGGGACTGGGCAGCAGCTAGGCCGCCGGGGACTTTCGAGCTAAGCCCCCAAGACTCGGGTCCTCTCCCTGGGACGTGATGTTGAGTGGCACCACCTCTCCAGTTCCTGCCTTCACCCACTGTCAGATTATGAGGAGAGAAGCCACCTGCATGACACCTTCACCCAGATGACTCTGTCCCTGCAGGAGGAAGCTGCTGCCCTGGGTGAGTGTCTCCTGAAGTTTGGGCTCAGAGCCCCCAGGATTGGGGGATGAGGAGACTCTGGGTTTGGGTGGTGACCACTGTCTTTGAGGGGTGACATCAGGGACATGAGTGAGACTGGGTGTTTGCCAGGGCAGGTACAGAGGTGGAGGAGTTGCTGATCCTAGAGAGGAGGTGGGGGCGAGTGGAAGGAAGAGACCTAGTGAGGTCTTGTGTAGGTAGACTGGCTGTGACAGGTCCAGCAGCCTCGCCGCATCCCACCTGCCATCAGCTTGTCTGTCTGACGAAGTGGGACGATTCTCTTGCTTCCTGGGGTGGCCTTCTTGACCACAGGACGAATGCATGCATGTTGTCCTTATGATTAAAGCAGTTGGGGGCAGCGCACCAGGTAGGAACTGTGGAGCAGATTGCTGAGGTGAGAGCCATGAAGAGAGATGGGGCCAGATTCCTCCTGGGACAAGGACACATGCCAGCGCTGCATGGAGGAGAACACGCCTGTTGTGGTGTGGTGGGACGTGTGTCACCCCAGGGGAACATGTGTCTTGAGAGGCCGTATTAGCACAGCAGATAGCAGTGATCACACAGGTGACCACTGACATACTGCCCTGAACCCCCAGAGTGGCTTCGTGGTAGGGTCAGAGGGCTTTTGGGAAACCACAGGCGCTGTTTTGTAGGATAAACTGACCATTGCATAGGTCTAGAGCTCAGGGCTTGTTTCTACATCAGTATAGCTTCCTTTTGTTTCCACCATGCTTTATGTCAAAATTCCTCAAAGGGAGAGAAGTTTGTATCCTTCTGGGGAGTCCTCCAGGGGCCAGGGTGGAGCAGGCTTCTGTGGGAGATGCCCCAATCACAAGGGGAGACCCGAGGAACCCTGGAGCTGGAAGGAGAGACACAGGGTTAGGGAGATGCCCTTTCTCTCTCTCTGAGTGCTGTCTCGTCACCCGGGGCTTTGAAAAGACCAGGAAGAAGGTGTGGATCTGGGATTGTGGAACAGACTTGGAGGAGAGTGGAGGAGGCTGGGACTATGGTGACGGACAGGGGTTGGATAGGATGTTGGGGCCTGGCTCGAGTACCTGGGGTCTGACTCCAGAGCTCTTTGGGCTGTGGGTCATCCCTGAAGTGAGTGTGGGAGCAGAGCCCGAGGGGACAGTGATTGTGTGGATGCACTGGACATCCGGGCACAGCTGGACATTTGGATGCCGGGTTCAGCAGAGGCCCATACAATGTGTAAACATGTGGCTATTGAATACAGCAAGAACCCCACTGGGAGCTCAGTTGGGACTAAGTCTGCCAGTGCCCTGCCCTTGCATCGGGCCTGTGGGGCACAGACACACTTCCACAGTAGTTTAGTGTCTCAGCCATGGTGATCTGTGCTTTGGAGGAGCACAAGGTGAAGGGGATGTGGTGATAATTACAGTTGGCTGATCGGATGAGACCCAAAGGAGAAGATCCAGTGGAGCTAAGACCTGACCGAGCTGACTGCGAGAGCCAGATGATGTGGGCAGTGGGTCCGGGTGCAGGGATGAGCCAGTGCGAAGGCCCTGGGGCCAGTGGGGCCCGGAGTGGAGTTGAACTTGAAGGGGTGGCAAAGGACTTGGGGCAGGGAGATGAGTGGGTCTCAGGACCCAGCGACCCCCAGATCTCCTGGGAGGGCTTTTGCTGACATGCAGAGGTCTGGGCCCATCTTTCTCACTGGCTGCCTCAAGGAGCTAGAGCAGAAGTCAGGAGGCCAGTGAGGAGTCCACGGGAGATGACTGGGCCTGTCATGATGGCCCAGCCTGGCCAGGACAAATCAGGGCCTAGGGGTAGGGCAGGAGGAAGGAGGAGCAACTTCGAAGGTTTTACTGTGTGCTACACCTGCCTCAGGTATGGACACACATTAAGCTCTTTAACAACACCTTGTACCAGCCCTGTAGGATGGGTTTAGGGCCCCACTTTCCAGGTGAGGAAGCTGGGCTCAGCTGGACCGGAAGGGTGGACCTTGGAGATGTTTGGGGCTAGGCTGGCCTAGGCTCTGGACCAGAGTGGTGGGGAGAAGCAAGGGTGAGTGCCTGGCCTCTCCCAGATGACCGGCCAGAGAGCAAGGCCAGTGGGCCTAGGGCTGCCTCTTGGTGGCCAAGAATGGTATTGTCTGTGTGTGAGTCATGGAGAGGAGAGAGTGTTAGAGCATCCCTTACCTGGAATCTGAAATCTTGCAAAATCCGAAACTCTTGTGAGGGTCACCATGACTCTCCAAGTGGAGAATCCCACATCTGACCTCGTGTGACAGGCCTCAGCCCAGGGGACACGTGACAGAGCCTGCACTCAGAATACTGTGTCAGATGACCTTTGAGCTCTGGGTATAAGGTGCAGGTGAAACACAAAGAAAAGTCGTGTTTAGGATTGAGTTCTATCTCAGCATTACCTCAACTACCCTAAATTTTAAAAAGTCCGAACATGTGGAACATTTCTGGTCTGATGGGTTTTGGGTAAGTGACACTCAGGCTTTATAGAAAAGAGGGCAGAATACTGGAAGGAGGATTGGGTGTGGAGGCTTGAGCTGGGTTCAGGTGTAGCTCAGACCACTTCCTGAACTGATCCGTGCCTCAGTGTCCCCGTCTCACATCTGGAAATGGTCACATCAGCAGCGTACCTTCTACAACACATTGTGTGCACTTGAAGCCCGGCCCTCTAAGGTCTGATGGTCACTCCTCCCATTCCAGGCCCAAAGGGTGCTGCTAGATGCTTTAGGATCCGCATGCTTTTATGTTGTGTGGCATTTAATACCTGCCACCAGCCCTGTGGTCCCTATTTTATCAGTGTAGAGAGGATCAACAAGTTGTCACTTGGCCAGGGGTCACATAGGGATGAGGGCTTGCACCCCACCCCTCAGGTGTGAGACAGGCTCATAGATGGATGTCCTGGGACTCAAGGCCACATGATCTGGACCAGAGCTGAAGCTCCTAACTGCGTGTCCCTCTTCAGGAGAGACTTGAATAATAATCCTGTGCCTTAGGGTGCAGTGGTGTAACCCACACCTTTGCCGTTTTGAACCTTTTGCCTCACCCCCCCCCCCACCGCAGCCTGTATACCTCCTCAGCTTACTTGGTATGGTCCACGCTCCCCCTCCCATGAGTCATTTGGTTTGGCCCAGGAGGTTTCAAAGACTTCCAGCTTTCTGGCCTCTCATTTGAGCGCCCTACTCTGACCACATCCTCCTGGCCATCCTGCTGTCTCCAGACCACACTCCTGTTCTGTGGCCAAGGACAGACCTCTAAGTCCTTGACTTCTCATTTTGAACCCACTTCTTGGCTTCAGTGGCCTTTCTCTCAGACTGTGCACCCCGGTGATCCACGCTTCAGCCTTCAGCCCCCGCCCTTTTTTTTGGCTAGCCTGGGGATTGAACCTAGGGCCTTCACCTTGAACTCCATCCCCAATCTTTTTTTTTTTTTTTTTCTTTTTCTCCCCCAGACAAGGTATTTGTCAAGTCATTAAGCTTAGCCGGGCTAAACTGGCCAGGCTTGGCTCTAACTTGCAGTCCTTCAGCGTCAGCCTCCTCGAAGGCTGTCCAGCCAGTGTCCTCTGATTCCCTCCCTCCTTGCATGGCATTAAATCATAGAGGAGCCTTCCTTCCCCTCTTCATAGTGTCTTTAGCAAACCAGAAGTTTATTTCTCCGAGTAAAATAAGCATTGAGTTAGGCATTTGGGGGAAGCACCAGGTGGCAGTTCCAATTTCTTGTGGACCCGAGCTCCTGCCTGCGTGGTTCACATATGCCACTTTGAGTCACATCTCAGTTGCTATAACTTGGTCATGTGGCCCTGAGGCCTGGCAGTGAAATCTTTTAGCTGGGAGGAGAGGAAAGCATTTCTCAGATGGAGTGTGGTGTTCTGTTACCGAAGATAAAAGTTACCTGTTTGGCGGCCACGTAACAAAGTGTCACAGACGGAGGGCCTTAAACAATAGAAGTTATTTCTCCACAGTTGCACAGGCTTGGAGTTCAAGATGAGGGTGGTGGTGTGTGCAGGCAGGGCTGGTTTCTCGTGTGGCCTGCAGATGGCTCCTCCCCCTGTCTCTCCCCATGGTCCACGCCCTAAGTCCCTCTTCTCAGAAGTGAGACTCGTCTCACTGGTATTCACATTCATACTGGACGAGAGCCCATCATGATGGCCTTGTGGGAGCGTCATCTCTTTTTTCGTTCTTTTTGAGACAGGATCTCGCTGTGCAGTTCAGGCTGGCCTTGAGCTCACTTTGTAACCCAGGCTGGTCTTGAACTCACAATGATCCTCCTACCTCAGCCTCCTGAGTGTTGGGATTACAGGCGTGGGCCACCAGGCCCAGCTCACCTCTTTATAAGATTAGCCCACTCTCTGAATACAGTCATATTCTGAGGCTTGGGCGTTTAGGACTTCAGCATATGACTAGGGCAGGGGGACACAGTCTGTGTACTGCCACACCCTGGTGGCATACCCTCACTGCATGTCAGGTATCCAGCAGTGCCACCTCCATGGGGTGGACTGGGCTGTCCTCTAGAAACCTCACAAAATCTTACAGCCTGGAGGCCGACAGAGGGGTCAGAAGCAGAAACTGTGGACAGTGCCCCTGAAAGAGGGAGACAGGAATAGCGCAGCTTGGGGGGTGTGTGTGTGTGCGCGCGCACACACACACACCTGCCCTATTTTTTAAATGTATTTGGTTGGTTGTTACAGGGTCTCACTATGCAGCTCAGACTTGCAGTGATCCACCTGCTTTCAGCCTCCCCAGCGCTGGGATTACCGGCCTGCGCCACTATACTCTGGACTCTGGCTGGCTCAGTCCGCCCTGGGGGGCGGGCGGGCTGGCGCAGCATGTGGTACCTGGGATCCAACCGTGGTACCAGTGTTGGCCTAAGCTTGCCGAAGTAGGTGCTTTAGTCCGCTGAGCTATCTCGCCAGCCCTGTGTGTCTTATTTAAAGGGTGTAGCTGCCACCAAGCTGGCAGCTAATTGCTGCCTTATGGCAACTCCGTCTCTGCAGTACAGCTCCCTGCCCCCAAATTCTTTTTTTTTTTTTTTAAGACATGCCAAACATTTTATGTGACCTTCCCAAATTTTATATATTGGTAACCGGCTCATTAAATAATAGGAAGAAAAACAAAACACTTCAGGCCAAATATAACACATCCAAGAGATGGATCTGGGCCCTAGGTCTCCCCTTGTGGTCTCCAGTTCCAGTTGGGATCTGGAATTCATGTTTCACATATTCATCAAGCTCTTTCTAAGAAGTCTCATGAGCTCTTTTTTTGTATTTTAGGGAAGGGTTTACAGGGTGTTTAGGGTCTTACTACTAGATTGGAGTTGTAGTGATCTGCCTGTTTACAGCCTCCCAAGAGCTGGGATTATAAACTCACGCTACCACACCCGTCTTAATTGCTGTCTCAGCGCACCCTGAGGGCGGGGTTGGGGCCTGGGGCCGGCTGGCACGGCAGTCCTGGGGGTCCAACCCCGTCCCTGCAGCTGCTTGCATGCGCTTTAATCTGCTGAGCTATTTGGCCCACTCATGAGCTCTGAGGACAGCACTAAAGAAAGACACACTTGGCCGATGGACTTAAATATCGACGTATATAGATGTGTCTTGCAAACTGGTGAGAACTATGCACGAAATGAATTGGGTACTATGAGAGAAAAACAGACTGGATTAGGGTATAGATTTGTGGCAGTGGAACACCTTTAGGGAAGTGACATGAGGTTAACACGTGGAGGATGACCAGGAATAGGGGAAGATGTGCTCCAAGCCGAAGTTGGCATGTGCAGAGGCCCTGAGTGCTAGGGAACGTGGTTCTCTGTGAAGGGAACTGAAAGTAGGCAGAAGGGTTCAACAGCGAGGAAGAAGGAATTCTTAAGTCAGCACCCAGAAGGCCTAGTGGATCCGGGTGAGGAATTTGATGGTTATCATCCCTTCTTGCCCAACAAGATAAAGGCAGATATAGCCAAGGGCTTCCATCCAGCAGAGACTGAAGGCCCTGGAGGAGGTGAGGAGGCAAGAGCTGTGTGTGGTACTGAGAGAGACCTAAGGGTGCAGAAGGGACAGACACCGTGAGGGCGAGTCCTTTGCCAGCCATAGGCCAGGGCTGGTTCTACAGGGCCCTCCCCACTCTGCAGGGTCCTTTGAGGTTGCCTTTCCTGCTGCTGCAGAAAAGATGAAGACGGCCATTCTACAGCTTAAGAAAGGTAAAATAGAAGCACGGTGAGAAATCCCACTCCAGGGTCCCCTCGGTAGTTCTCCAAGAGCTGGGTCCCAGAATGTGGGACTTCTGGCTGGCTCACTTTGCCCTGGATCACTGCATCTGGCTGGCTCTGGCCCATTGGCATGTGTCCTATCCAGCTAGCACCCTTCTTGGGACAGTCCTGTGCGCCCCCTACATTCCATAGAGATGACCAGCAGGAATCATGAGCCTGCCTGGTATGCCTGGGGAGGAGCCCCGCGGGTATGGCCCCGCCCACTGGAGGAGGATGCTGGGTTTGGCCCCGCCCTGAGGAGCTCTGGGTGCCTGGTCCCGCCCCTCGGAGGGGTGCTGTGTGCCTGGCTCCGCCTCCTTTGGTTTTGGTGTCCTGCTAGGTAAAAGACTTTGGGAGCTTTTCTATTGGGACCTTTCCCGGGCTTTCAGGGTAGTGACGTTTCCTCTCTTTCTGCAGTCCAGCCCTGCATCCCTCCCTGCGGTAAGGATTCAATGACAAACTCGGAATCCTCGGGTAAGGGAGGTGATTTGGGTCGAAGAGCATGAGTGGGACTCGGATCGGGAGGCCTCTAAGTGCCTTGGAGAAAATAAGTCAACCAGGTCAACGGTCTGGGGTCTAGGTCAGCGGGGAGAGGTCCCTAGAGCGTTTACATAGTGACACAGGCAAGGCGGGTTCATTTCCCGGAACCTGGCCAAAGGACACAGATGGGGCTCCTGCAGCAGCCTAGGCCTGCAACCTCACCCGCAGGGATCCAGGAGGTCAGCCGGCGCTTCCTCTGCCACGGGTGCTACTCCACCTTGTGCGACCTCCCACTGGACTGTCCAGGTGAGGGTGGGCGCTGGGGGCTGAGCCACCCTGGGAGCACGGGGGGTGAGGGCGGGGTCTGCGGTGCCACTCCATGCCTTCAGTGCAGGATGTGAGGGTGAGTCGCGGCGACCAAGCCCTATTCTCCTGCGTGGTGGGCTTCACGCTGCCGGAGGAGGAGGTAACCTACTCCTGGAGCTTCGCAGCAGGTGTGAGTCGGGGCGGGCGCGCCCCAGATTGTAGAGAGGCGGGTGGGTTCACGTTCAAGGGGTGCTCATGGGGAGGTCCGCGTAGCCACAGGCCTCCTGCAAGGGGAGCCCCAAGGCTTAGGAAGGTGAGGTCCTGGGATGGGCGTGTCAGCACTACAGAGAACGGTGAGGTGTTGAGGAAAGGGAAGGGGTATAGGCTGGGGGCGGGGCCAGGCTACGCCGGGGCTTGCAGCTGGGCAGTGTCTGTAGGACCTGGCCCAGGCGGACCCCTCTCCCGACCGACCCGCAGCTCCGGACTCGGGACGCGTCCTATTTCCGAGATATGCCGCGGGCCCGAGGGTACCTGGCGCGCATCCGGCCGGTGCAGCCCACGCACCGCGGGACCTTCTGCTGCTTGATTCAGCACGACCAGCGCCCCCTGGCGCGGCTCTACTTCTTCCTGAACGGTGCGGGCGGGGTCGGCGTGGGCGGGGCCTCCTGGCGGGGCGGGGCCGGCGGGGCTGACGCACCGCAGTGACCGGCCCGCCCCCGCGCGGGGAGACGGAGCTGCAGGTCACGTTCCGGGAAGTGCTGCGCTGGGCGCCGCGGGACGCGGAAATGATCGAGCCCTGGAGGCCCAGCCTGGGTGAGCTGCTGACCCGGCCAGAGGCTCTGACGCTGGGCAACCTGGCCCTGCTGGCCGCTGTCATGGCCTTCGCATCTGCCAGTGCGACGGTGCTGGTGTGGTGAGTCCGCGTGCAGCTCTCCCTCTTTGGCCCTCCCTCAGCCCCGGGGCTCCAGGTCCTTTCACCTTTGAGATCCAGGCCCCAGGACCTATAATTCTGTCCTGGCCATGCACCCACCCCACCCCCACTCCCTTATTTCCCCAGGATGTTCTTTCGGTGGTACTTGAGTGGCGACTAACAAAGGTACCTCGTCCTAATCCTGTTTTCATTCGTGAAATAAAAAGCATACATTTCTGCTCTGGGGTCTTCGGCTTCTGAAGGTGGCAGTGTGCTAGAAAGGCCGAGGTGATTCTAGTGCCCATAGGATAGTAGGGGCTCAGCTGTCGCAGGCAGGCCCTGGCCTGAGGCTGTTACGCTCCAGTCCACACCCCGCTTGCAGCTTTTGCAGCCCCTCATCCGGCCCTATGCAGAGTCCCAGTGTTGCCCTGGAAGCCTGTTGTCCTTCCCTTTGGAGAGAGGTCTCCATCCATCCACTTAAGAGTGCCGAGTCGTGTGAAATCTCTTCAGTTTCAAATCCTTTACCAAGTCTGCTCCTTTGTAACTCGTGTCCCTGTGGTTCTGGTCACTACTGTGTCCTGTCTGGGTCACCGTGGCAGCCTCCCAACTGCATCCCTGTCCCTGCTGGGCCTTGGCCCTCTGAAGGCCATTCTCTACGAGCTGGAGTAATATTTTACATCACAGCGGTCCAGCCTTTTGGCTTGCCTGGGTCACACTGAGTGAGGAGGAATGGTCTTGGGCTGTGTGCAAGATATAGACTGGGTTTTTCCTTTATTTATTTATTTATTTATTTTTTAAGACAGAGTCTCGGGGCTGGGGATACAGCTCAGTAGAATAAGCACTTGCTTGGCAAGTGCAAGGGCCTGAGTTCAATTCCCAGTTCTGCTGACCAAAAAAAAAAAAGATTGAGTCTCACTATGCAGTTCAGGGTGGCCTTGAACTCACTTTGCAGCCCAGGCTGACTTCAGAGTCACAGCTGACCTCCTGCCTCAGCCTCATGAGTGCTGGGATTGCAGGCATGCGCCACCACACACTACAAACTGTGGTTAATGTGTTTAAGTAACATGACTTAAAATATTTGTACTTAATAAATAATTTTACAAAACAGCACAAGCCGAGTCTTGAGTGCTTACACGTCTGCTTATTAACAAGAAATGCACCTTGTCACAGGTATGCACACACATCGCTGTGGGTAGGCTGAAGTACTGTTATTTGTGACTGGATTTTACTCATCAACTCACGTGTGTCATGTCTGATAAATGGGGATTTTGAGGGTGGGACAGGCGCAGCAGGCACCCGGTGCTGTCCAGCAGCCTCCCCAGTGCCCTGTTGTCAGCTGCCCCATCCATGTTGCACCCCATCACCAGGCAGTTGAGCAGGAACAATACTGCTGAATACCACATCAGTGTGTTAACAGGTTTTGACCCGTGGGACTGCATGCGACTCCTTAGAATATGCCAGATTGGGTTGCTTCTCTGCTCCATGTTTTTCAGTGACTCCCTACTGGCTTCAGAACAAAAGCCAGTGCCTGAATCGGGGTGAAGGTGCCCCACGGACTGAGCTCTGGCCGACCTTCCAGGCCTTGACCCTTCCAAAAAATCGGGGTGGGGGAGTGGCAGGGAAGGCACCCATGGTTTTTCTACCTGCAGTTCCTCTGGGCTTCTTTTCTTGTGGTTCTTTGGTCTCTCCCTAGGATTTTGGTTCACGTTGTTTCTTGACTAGATTAATTTTTTTTTCTTTTTTAAGTTTTTCTTTGTCCAGTTCATTATGGTTTTCCTGGAGTAGCCGTTACGTGTCTTAACTCAACCCCCATGACACCTGCATGAGTCTAGCACTAGAGGGGAGTCTCTACCTCCCCTCTGTCGCCCTCCTACTTAGCTCCTGGGGCCTCCAGTTTTAGTCCCTTGGACATTCAAAGCTTGTTTCACCTCCAGGCCCTTGCATGTGCTCCAGGAACTCCAGGAACCCACCTGGCTCTTGCTGTGCAGGCTTCAGCCCTCATGCTGCCTTTGTCCTGACCGTTCTGTCTCTGTGGCCGCTTGCCACCCTTTCACTAGCTTGTGCATGCAACTTGTGGGTACACTGTTGATAAACCATGTTTTCATCGGTTCTGTTGCCTCTCCCTAGGAGAAGCTGCTGAGTATGGCTCCTTTTTCCCCGTTGTGTTCCCCTTCATCGAGTCTATCACTCAGTGTGCACTTACTGAACACTTACTATGTGCCAGGTATTTTCATAGAACTCCAGGACTGGTAAAGAAAAATGAGAAGAGGAAAAAAATATCTGGCCTCTCCTTGAACTTAGACACTAGCTGATACTAAAAGCTTCCTCTACTCGATACTTATGACCTCAAGGTTCAAGACCTAGTGCTGTTTCTATAATGTTTTTTGTTTTGACCTTACCAACTAATTCCCCAACTCTCGGGATATTAGTTGACTGTTCATTATTTAATTCTGATAGCAACTACCAGAGCACATGTCAAGTGCTAAGGATTTAAGGGTTCACATCCACAAGATTGGTGCCCCTTTAGATACCAGTCACAGATAGTGGTGTTGGGCTACCCACGCTAATATCCAGCTTGGGTACAAAGGTAGGGGATCTGAAAATCCACCCCCACCCCAATTCAATAATTTTGCAGGAAGGATTTCATAACTTGATAAGGTATTGAGTAATTCATTATCAAGGATGTTATATAGAGGGTGTTCATAGCCAGGTAAAGAAGTACAGGGTAAGGGCTGGTGGGGTCTCCATTGGTGACGTCTAGGTCCCTGTGGAGGTGGGGAGCAGCACGCTTCGGGTATGTGGATGTGTTACCATCCTGGAGGCTCTCCAAGCCCCACACTGTGTCTTCCTGGTACCAGCGCAGTCAGTGGCTGACCGTCTACACCTCCGCCATTCCCTAGGGGGTGGTTGGGGAGGAAAGCTCCAAGTGTCCAGTCATGGCTTAGTCACGCTGGTGGCCAGCTGCCATCCAGGAGTCCACCAAGACTGAGCAGGATGGAGGCTGATCCTACCACCAGGAAATTCCAAGGGTTTAGGAGCTCCATAAGAGGCTCCCGTCATCCATGTGCATAGCAAGTGACAGGGTGTTTGGAGCTGTAGATCTAGGGTAGAGGTCTCACTTTTTTTCTTACCATATCCCAGGAAGAGATTAATAAAATACAATCATGTTAAGTCATACAAGACTACATGGAGAAGAGATGGCAGAGAAACAGACTGTGAGAGTTGTGAGGCAGGTGGTGTCAAAAGGATCTTAGGGCGAGACCCGGCCTAAGAGACGGTGACTTTTGAGTACAGACTGCAGGAGCTCGGGTGGGCACCATTTAGGTATTTCTGTTAGGAGTGTTCCAGGCTAAACTGGCAGGAGCAGAAGCCAAGGAGGCAGGCGGCCAGTGTGGTTGGAGCAGGGCTTCAGGAAATGAGTACTCGGTGTCAGAAAGAGAAGGGAGGGGTAGCCTGCAAGACGTTGGCGACTGTGAGGTCTGATTTTCCTCTAAGATGAGAGTCATCAGCAAGGCCGGGATCTGATGTACAGGGCTGCAGTAGGGCTGACAGCCGAGGGACAGGTGTGGAGGTCAAGGGACTGCAGGTGGTACAGTCACTTAGGCAAAAGATGAAGCTTCGGGACAAGGTGGTGACAGGGAAGGTGAGGAAGTGTGGCTTCAGCTCCTGTCCAGAAGTGAGACCCACTGAGGTTTGCTTAAGAAGCAAGAGTTTTGGGAACCACATGTTATAATGGAAACATTTTAGGTTTGTACAGTCCAGTCTGGCGGCACCCACCACTGGTGCTCAGTGTGGAACTATGTGCATAACCTTCAGTAGATTTAATTAGTGTAATAGTCCCTGCTCTGTGACAACAGAAGTCTCAGGGGCACGTGCCCCTGGGCACTCTTAACAGATCACACTGCTCTGTTTGTTGAGCTCCCTGAAGCGAGGAGCTGTCTTTGCAAACCTGGCAGAGGGTGGGTGGGACTCAGCAAGTTATGTTTTTGGCTTAGTGGATCAATGAATGACATAAATATATGCAGGGTCCCACACGGAGGAGTGGCGATGGTTGTGGACAGTATAGCTCTGCAACAATATAGCTCTGAGTCTGGGAAACTTGGGGAGCAGGTTTCCTAGAGATCAGGGGAAGAAAAGGGAGTGGGTGTCAATGTCTGTAAGGATGTGGTGTGTGAATATACACATCTGGAATTCAAGGGCGAGGTCTGGTCTGAAAATCAAAGATTGGGAGTCCTGTCTCTTAAGCACAGCATGGATGAGGTGCTCAGATCCTATCTTGATTACTGTTCTCCTTACTAAGACAAAATCCAGGACATCGAAATTAAGGAAGGAAGGGTTTATTTAGCTCACAGTTTGTAGCAGTTTCAGTCCATGATCAGCTGGCTCTAAGGTGGAGTGGCTTGGAACAGGGGCAGCACTTCAGAGCAGCAGAAGACAGCAAAAGCAATCAGAGCAAAAAAGCGGGGCTGAGTGGAGCAAGCCTCTTTTCTTCCCTTATGTTGCTTGCAGGATGCCGGGTAGCACTTACAACGTCTCCATGTCCTCCTTTTGCACAGGCTCAGGACATTTACAAAGTGCCCATCCTGCCCCTCTGCTGAGTCATTTAGTTAAACTTATAAAACTTCTCCAGTTGACACAGCAACATCTTAGAGCTAGGGCCTGCCCTCTACACCCTAGGAAGTAGAGTTGCTAAAGTATTTCTTTAAACTTGTAAACTACTTAACTTGACACAATGTATCAACCGTTATAAAGCTCCTGGGCTCCAGGGGAAGCTGGTGTAGATGGATAAGAGGAGGAGGTTTCTCCAATGTGCAGTAGCCTGGGGCCAGCCAGCCAGCACAGCGGACTAAAATGCCTGCTTAGGCAGTTGCAGGGACTCCAGCGCTTGGGAGGTTGAAAACAGGAGGATCACTGTGAGTCCGATCTGTGTAGTGAACCCTGTAGACCCTGTACTACAAATACATGCAAAACAAAACAAAACAAAAAACCAATGTGCAGCAGCCATGGAAAGAGGACCCAGACAGGATCCAAAACTAAGGAAAAATATTTCAAGGAGAGAGTACCTAACTGTGCCAGGTCTGCGAGCGTGTGTGCTGGAGGCCTGTGAAGTGGCCACTGGTTTTGGAGCTGAGGACATCACGGTGAGCGTGACAAGAGCAGCTTCCACCGGTGGCTGCACAGATCTATAACCTTAGGGTTGTACATTTGGAAAGGGTGGCCCTTGCGGGAAAGACATTGGCGGCAAGTACAGCAGCTTTCAAGTTGGGCTTGAGAACAGGAAAAGAAATGGAGAGACAGGTTGAGGGAGAATTTGAAAAGTGTGAAGGGTGGGTGTAGTGGCACATGCCTGTAATCCCAGCACTTGGGAGACTGAGGCAGGAGGATTTCTGTGAGTTCCAGGCCAGCCTGAACTACACAGTAAAATCACCTCAAAAAGCAAAGACAAGAAAGAAAGATGGGAGAGAATAGTACATCCAGTTGCTCAGGGGCAAGAGCCCCTTCAGGGAGGGAAACTGGTTAGTGCAGATCAGCTGGGGAGAAGGGCTGGAAGGAGACCTCAGTCTGCGGAGTGGGGAGGGCTCTGGGGTCACGTGATGGGCGGCTGATTTGCCCTCAGCAACATGGAGACTGTGGGGCTGAGGACTGAAAGTTTTCTCCTGGAAACCCCATTTAGTGAGACAGGAGCTTGCTCCGAGTGAGGCTGGGAGGTGGAGGTGGATGTGATGGTCCGGCTGCTTAGCCAGGGCACGGAGCGGCCGCCCCCTGGGCTGGCAGCAGGTACTCTGCAAGGGCCTGCGTGTTCCCGGAGTAAG